GTATAGTGTTAGAGGATTAGCGGTTATTCAAAGATGCACCAATGAACTTAAATAGATATGATACATAGCCGATTACGTACGTATTGATTGACGCAGGCAACTGATTACGTACAGACCTTAGTCATACGTACATGTTGGTTACGGACACCCTCTTGATTGCGGACACTTCTTGTATAGTGCTAGAAGATTATCGGTCGCTCAATAACATAACGCACCAATGAACTCGGACATGATCAGTATACTAGGCGATTGCGGCACCATCGCTAAATGCATACTGCGCCTGCTCTTGCATAATGTTCAAGTCTATCCCACATGGCTTAGTGCTCTATATCTCGATGATTTTTTGTTGTTATCAACCACATTACACTAAGCCTACCTCTACACCGACATGTGTATCGTCAAAAAACGTACASTCAACTTCATAACGGACACTTTCAGGATCGTAATAATCCAACGGGCGTCCKCTTTAAAGGGAGTTATATTGATGAAAAGTAATGAATTTGAAGCAGGAATTCATCCTAGTTTCCAAACGAGATTTTACTGTATTCGATTCGTGAGTTGTACAATGAACCKCAAACCGCGTAAAAAAGAGTTTGAACCGTTAAGTTAACCGTAAGAACTTAATCTCACCATTACTAAACCTTCTGAGTACATCTAACAGTCAAGGGCTTTAGATAACTGATTATTATCATCTTGTCGTTAACTGTAATTTCACAACAGGAAAAGAAAACTAAAATACTTTGACCAATCAACACTAGCTGATCAAAGATCAGTTACGATTCAGATAGATGTCAATAGTTATGTCAAACCAAGGTTATCATCGTGTATAGACGAATGAATGGATGGAAGGGAAAATGAATGAAAATATGGAAAGTGAAAAGAGAGACGAATGAAAGAAGAAATGAACAAATGGATGGATTTTTAAGCGAAATGGAGCGAAATGACGTAAGTAGCAAGGTAACTAGCTACGTAAAGTGTGAGATGAAAAACGCAAGAAGTTACGTAATTGTGTGGTGAAATACGCAAGAATCTAAGCCGAAAGAATACAAGCAAATATGTATGTATGCACCATAGTCGAAAACCAAGGCGGAAGCATTGTCCTCGTTAAGATGATGACGTGTAACAGGATAGTTGATCTTTAAAAAAACTTAGAATTCTAAATTAATAACAGTGGGGCGTTTGAAGATCAATTCAAAATTCAATTTCACTTTTCGTTTTTTTTTTTTCAAATTAATAACTTCCCTCTGAGTTGCTTAGCTACTTTCTGATTGGTCACTTTTCTGTGACGACATGTTCTTTACTGAGTCCAAATTGTTACTCCTACAATAACTTTGCTTCCGAAACAAATTTTCTTTTGTTCACTTTAAATTCTTCACGTCAACTTGATGGATTTGTGTACACAAACTTTACATATTTAAGTCATTTCATGAAATGAAAAACCGAAAAAAATGGCTTTATTGTTGTGTGTCTTACTTAGAAAGGTCAATCACTCTTAGTATTCAATGGTTGTGAAACCACAACTTCGAGATTATTTCCATTATGTTGTCAGGTTGTTAAGCGTATCTATGCTTGTGGGTTATTCTGCGCGTATATCAGGTTTTGTTTAAGGTGCCATTTCTGTTTACATAAGAATATTCTTAATTAGAGAACCATGACAGCTTAGGACTGTACAACACTAAGTATGAGGTTCGATCACATCCGATGGTTGTACTACAGAAGAACTTAA